AAGGATTAGTGCTTTAACATAATGAATTTTGAGGGGATACAGTTCAGCCCATAATACACCTTTAGATTTTGTCTTCATCAATTTCTGAAACTTTTTTTTAAGGTTTTTATTATTTGACACAGAGACAGAGAGTACAAGTAGGCAGAGCAGCAGGCAGAGGGAGAGGAAGAAGCAGGCTCTCTTTTGAGGAGGGAGCCTGATGTGGGGCTCGATCTCAGGGATCATGACCTGAGCCACCCAGGTGCCCAATTTCTGAAACATTTTAATCTTAAATTCCAGCATCCCACTTCTCAATCACTAAAGTCTATCTTTCCAGCTCTTTGTCTTTCTGCTACCCCAAACCAGTAACTCTTCAACCACACTGGGACACACAATCTCCAAATGCAACCTCTTTTTCACTCTCCTCATATTCTCTCATGTCCTTACTTGCCTTTCTCACGCTGCATTCCATGGTCTATTATTATAATCACTCTCTTACATATATTCTTTTTCTTTCTTTATTTTATTTTATTTTTTTACAGAGATCTCAAGTAGGCAGAGAGGCAGGCGGGGGGGTGGCAAGCTCCCTGCTGACCAGAGAGCCCTATATGGGGCTTGATCCCAGGACCCTAAGATCATGACCTGAGCCGAAGGCAGAGGCTTAATCCACTGAAACACCCAGGTTCCCCTCTTACATATATTCTTGATATTCTTACATATATTCTTGATACACTCGTGCTCTCTCTTCATGGTACTTGCCTGGCAAAGTCCCAGTCCTGGTGATTGCAGCTTCCTTACGATTCCACCCACACCTCCGCACCTGCACATCACTAGGAAGAACACTCAGTCATCCTGCCTAAGTTCACTATTTGTTCATGACCTCAATGGGCCCTCAGTGTCTGCTAACAATCCTGCCACATTGATCCCAAGCATTCACCATCCTAGGCAACTGTTTCATACCTTTCCCTCTCTCTCCAAACCTTTAACAGTCTCCCCCCATTCTCATTCTTGGCTGATCAACCTTCTCTCTGTTTCACCAAGAAAACAAATCCAATATTGTCTGTTCTGCCTTCTTTCTGTGCCAAGGACTGAGGGTCCCATGCTGTACCTAAGACAAGCTCCTCCTGTGCACATACTCCCATCCCTTCTCATGTAAATGAGGACAGGTTCCGGTAATTCTCCCCTCTCTCTGTCTTGCATTATCAATCCCCACCTCCCCTCCCCTACTCTCAAAAAGAACAGTCCCATCATTGTACAGACATGCTACAATTTTCCCCATTAAATTTTTTCCCTTGGGGCACCTGGGTGGCTCAGTGGGTTAAAGCCTCTACCTCGGCTCTCAGGTCATGATCCCAGGGTCCTGGGATCGAGCTGCGCGTCGTCGGGCTCTGCTCAGTGGGGAGCCTGCTTCCTCCTCTCTCTCTCTACCTGCTTCTCTGCCTACTTGTGATCTCTGTCTGTCAAATAAGTAAATAAAATCTTTAAAAAAAATTTTTTTCCCTTGACTTCCACTTTGCTACAGCTTCATTTTTCTGCTCTTTTTTACAGTAAAACTCTCCAAAAGAGCTCCTCTCCTCTCTTTCCATTCTCTCATGAACCCACTAAAGTGAGCCTTCCATGTCTAGCCCTCCAACCAGTTTCTTTATCAAGGTCATTGGTGACATCCATGTTGCTAAACCCAATAGCCAACTCTCAGTCCTCCCATATTACTTGCTCTATAGGCAGCGTTTGACTCAGTTGGTTACTTCCTCCTCAGCTAGAAATTCAACTTCTAGGATAAGCTTCTGGTTTTTCTTCTAACTCACTGGCCACTTCTCAGGCTCCTTTTCTGGCTTCCCATCAAGTTTGCAAACGCAATTCATTGGACTTCCCAGGATTTAGTACTTGGCCTCTTTTCTGTCTACACTCTTATTCTCATAGTGTTTCATGGCTTTAAATACTATTCAAATGCTGACAACTCTTATATACTCTACCCAAGACTTCTCCCCTGAACTTCATATTTGTATATCTAACTACCTAATTGACATCACTTGGATTTTAATAGGTGTCTCAAAACTTAGAATGTCTGAAACTTACCACTTCATCTTCCCCCTCCCAAACCTGTTCAACCTGCTGTTTTGCTCATTTTAGTTAATGACAACTTCTTTCTTCCAGTTGCTTGGGCTCTGAACCATGTAGTCATCTTTGCCTCTCTTTCTCTTATATTCAATCCAATCTGTCACCAAATACTCTTGATTCTGTCTTAAAGAGCCTGGCCAGCTCAGTCAGTAGAGCATGTGACCCTTGATCTCCAGGTTGTGAGTTTAAGCCCCACACTGGGTGTAGAGATTATGTAAAATAAAATAAAATAAAATCTTAAACACACACACACACACACACACACACACACACACACACACACAGAAGCCAGCGTTTTCTTACCATCTCAGCTACTACTGTCATGGTCTGAGCCATGGATTGTTGAAATGACTTTAGAACTCATCTCCTTTCTTTCAACCAGATCCTTTACAACCAATTCACAACAAGAAGTCACTTTCCTACTCAAAACTAATCTCAGGTGTTACTACTTTTCCCCTACTTCACTTGGCTCCAACCACAGTGGTCCTCGCCAGGATTCATTTCGACCCAGGGCTTTTGTACACTTGCCATTCTCTCTGCCTGGAATGTTTCTCCCCTGAGTTGCCTACATGGCTTGCACTCTCCACTTTCTTCAGATCTTTACTCAGATGTCATCTTCTCTTTAAGATCTTTCCTGACCATGCTCTTTGAAATGATGTCTCCATCACCATTCTCTAAGCACTTCTAGTTGCCCTTTTCTTGATTTATTTTAGCCATACTTATTGCTACCTGACAAGCCATATATATATATATATATATATATATATATATATATATATATTTAATTATTAGTCTCCCCACAATAGAATATTTTTATATTTATATTTTATAAGGACAAGAATTTTGGACTGTCTCCTTCATGGATCTGTCTCTCCCCAGCACTTAGAATAAAGTGCCTGGCACATAAGAGGTGCTTAATAAATATTCAGTCAAAACTGTTGCTCTCCCTATCATCCCGAGGGTTCTGGTAAATATGATTTTAGTTTGCTTCTATGTCCCTCAAGAAAAAAAATCTAATGACCAAACTTTGTGATGCTCTTTGCTCAAAAACATTAGGGAAAAAAAAATCACAGTCACCAGGGGTGCCAAGAAATCTCTTTGGAACCCATCATAGAATAAGACTGTTAGTTTCTAGATTTGATTGTTTGAATCCGAAATCAGATCCAAGGACCTCAATTTTTTGGAAAAAAATATGAATATAATATAATTTAACATTATTCACATAAAATAAGTTTTTATTCCCTTGAATGAAAAGTATATTTATTATAGAATATTAATACTTTCTGGAGGACACTAACAAATTAATGTAAATACTTCTGGGATCAAGATTTTAAGAGCTCATGCCACAGAACTCTTCGGGTATCAAGAGAAGTAAATAAACAGACATTACTTCTGCTCTCTGTACTATTTTGACAATTATGTCCCTATAACTGCTCTTTTTATTGTTAACAATGGTTCCGACTTATTGCCTACTTATCACCTGACATTGTGGTTTGCACACATAATCTTGGTTAACCCTCACATTATTCTTCTAGGAAAAGTATCATTTTTTTTTAAATTTCCATTTCACAGATGAGAAAGTTGAGACTTAAGAAAGCTAAATTGAGTTGGGTTCTGATCTTCCCAACAAAGAGTGATGACAACAAAGTCAGGCAACCCTTACATTCCTTATCACTGTTGTCCACATCATCTTTAACATAATAGTGTCATCTTACTCTCTCTTTCTCTCAATCTCTCTCAAATAAATAAATAAAATATTTCAAGAATGGGGGCAGCGCCTGGGTGGTTCAGTTAAGTGGCTGCCTTCAGCTCAGGTCATGATCCCTGTGTCCTGGGATCAAGCCCTGGGTTCAGCAGGGAGTCTGCTTTTCCCTCTCCCTCTGCCCTCCACCCCCACTCCGCCTATGCACACTGTCTCTCAAATAAGTTAATTAATTAAAGCTTAAAAAAAAACAGGCAGGGTAAGGATGCCTTGCCTTAATCCTTTCCTCATATCATCCTAATTGGAGAGGCTCTGTAGCTCTTTCGATTCAGGGCAATCATTTGGAAGCAATAATTCTTTTTTTTTTTTTTAATTTTTATTCATTTGACAGAGAGAGAGAGAGAGAGAGAGATCACAAGTAGGCAGAGAGGCAGGCAGAGAGAGGGAAGCAGGCTCACCGCTGAGCAGAGAGCCCGATGCGGGGCTCGATCCCAGGACCCTGAGATCGTGACCTGAGCCGAAGGCAGAGGCTTAACCCACTGAGCCACCCAGGTGCCCCTGGAAGCAATAATTCTTAAATCCTTGTTTCAAACTTCTTACTCATAAAGTCTTAACCAAATTACCCAAATTCTTTTCCCCATTTTCCTAAGCAGCAGGAGAGATGCGAATTTCTTCCTGTTACTATTTTTCAGAGAGGTGGAAATCGCAGAGATGAACTCTTGGAAGGAAAGTTGTCCCTAGACAGTAAACTCACCCACAGGGAAGTCTTGTTTTTCTCCCCCACCAGCCTGTCCCTGTCTTTGTCCTTTTTGTGCCCCCCGCCCCGAAGTTGGAACAAAGCTTGGTGAATAGTGAGCACAAAATAAAGAACCCTGAAGGAAGGGCAGAAGCCTAAAGTCAACACACCACACAGTCTGTTCTAGCGTAAATTCCCTTGGTAGTTTCCTCTTTAACCCCCCTGTTCACCGTTGGATTAAATTTGCCAGATTCGATTCCAACCCCACCCCTGCCCCACCTTCCTTCTTTAAAATATGCTCAGGGTTAAGGCTTTTGTGCTGTAATCCAGAGGAAAATGACTTATTTTAAAATGCAGTAAAAACACCGCATTCCTTTGGCACAGGATGAAGACCAGCTCAGCTCTTCAGCCCTAGATCATTGTCTATTGTTCTCCAAACAGTAAACCACTATTTCTCACCAGAGATTGTGGGCTGCAGTTCTGTCCGAGCCCTGGGCTTCTCACGAATATGAAGTGAAGGGCTCTGACCCAGAACGTGGTAGGTAATCTCAAAAAAAAAAGGGGGGGGGGACAGGTAGGAAACATATTAGGCTTTATGTAATTCTACACTCTTGAAATCTCCTGCAGGTTCTGAGCAGGGTGAAATGGGGTCTCAGAAATGTGGAGGCTGCCTAAGTGGTCTGCTGATTCCGCTTGCACTTTGGAGCATAATTGTGAACATATTATTGTATTTCCCAAATGGGCAAACTTCCTATGCATCCAGCAATAAACTCACCAACTACGTGTGGTATTTTGAAGGAATCTGTTTCTCAGGTATCATGGTAAGTGTGACTTCGGAGACTTGGGTTGCAGAAGGGAGTGTTTTTACTAAGCTTTGTCTTGTTCCTAGCAGAAATAATGAATAATGGAAAAATCACTGGACTAATCCCGGGTTTAGGATTTGGAAGATGGGTGGGAGTAAAGGGGCAGGTCGTCCATGAGAGCTTGGGAGGGTAGCTTTGTCTTCGATAAGCTGTTGATTTATGTGACTTCAGCAGTGCAGGAAATTAGACCTAATGAAAGTCTGTGAGATGCCAGCCGGTCGAAATATGTCCTCATGAACCCTGTGTGTTGGTTTAAGCTGTCTGATGTCCAGTGGCAGAGCTATTTTCCAGAATAGTTTCTATCTGCCCTCATGATTTCTCTAGACTGGAGAGGTATCGAGACCACATGGGAAAAGCAGAGATTGGGAGATTCAGACAAATTTGTGTTCAAATACAAGCTCTGCCATTTGTACCATGAGACCTTGATCAGATGACTCGATGTCTTTGAGCCTCAGGGTTCTCATCTGAAAAATGGGAGTGATGGCATTTACTTTTTAGGGTAATTGTGGGGATTTAACAAAATCTCATGAAAGAAGTGCCCAGCATGGAGGCTGATATGTATTAGATAGCCAACGAATATTGTGATTATAAATACTTGTTGAAGAATGGGCCAGATCATAATTAAATAGTCTGATATTATACCCCTCATAATGGGGGTGTTTTTGAAATGAGATCTAATTACTTACAGTAAGAATCCAAGAAAAAAAAAAAAAAAAAGAATCCAAGAATGTTTTTCCTGATGAATTTGTGCTCTTTAAAAACAAGCTGATAGTAAATCATGTTGGCAAGTCAGAGGAAAAAACACTTTTCCTGATCATATCATTTCTAAAAACAGCACATTGTGCGCTATAAGCTTACTATATCACCAAAGACATAAAAGACAATGGATTACAATTTATCTTTACATCTTCATGGGTGCTTAATTAATATAATATTTGAATAGCTATGATGAAAAGCAGTTTTCATTTGGTTACTATTTTGCACATGAAGTTAGTTAACTTTAAAGTACTGATAACGCTATTGAAGTTGCTGTGTGATAGATAGGTATGTAATGAATGTTTGGTGATTGTACTATAAGTGAATGCAAACCTTTTGGAGAAGATTTCAATATGCTGTATTAATATCCATGAAAATGCTTATATCTTTCGACTCAGTAATCCTAAACCTGAAAATTCATTCTGAGGAAATAATCCATAATAAGGAAAGATACACATACACAGATATTTATGGCAGCAGTATTTATAATAGTAAGTAATTTGTAGGAGCTTCCTAGCACAGAATTGGTCAAATAAATTGTGGAACATTCACTTCTTATGGCACTGAAAATGATAATTATGAAGATGCAGTAACATGGAAAATGCATATTATTTTGTGTTCAGCAAAAAAGAAATGATACAAAAAATTGTGAATAAGTTACAATTACAACTATGCAAAATATACACATGTGGTAATACCCTGGGAGTATATACATAAAAACATGTGAGGGTGGTGGGATTTGGGGTAATGTTCCTCCATTATGCTTGAGCCCTGTATTCCAGTTATAATTTCACAATGAAAAAAAGAAAGCAGTTTCTTTTTCAACACGAGCGATGCCTGTATTTCTCTTTTGACACAGGACTCCAGGGTCTAGGTCTAATTATTTCCCACTAGTACTGTAATGAAGCTAGCTACTGTACCTGGTGTACTATGCCTTCTCTCTTCATTGTTTCCCTCAATATGTCACTGGAATCAATAGAAGGGTTGCAAGGCATTAATAAGATTAAATTAGAATCTACTAAAATCTATGATAATTAGTGGTGTTGTAAGGAGGAGAATGTAAGACTCTGGTTTATATTCTGTGTAAAATATAAAACTTAGAAAAGAATCAGTTCTCTATTTTCCATTGTCAGGGAATCCCTGCAAAACATGATTGTTACTACATCAAATATTTTTAAGAGAAAGAAGAGGGATGTAGATAAATAAATAAGTAGACAAGCGAAAGCTGATGAATTTGGAAACTGGAAATGCTGTAAATATGCTGTAAAATGGTAATGCTGTAAAATGGTAAATGCTGTAAAACTGGAAATGCTGTAAAATAACAATGAAATCTGCTTCAGGATTCAGTCCAGAACACTGGGAGTAAATGATAGGTGGAGAATTTGTCAGAAGCAACTCATGGTCCATACCTGCCCAAACAAGGAACTATAACAGAAAAGAAACCCATTTACAGAACTTGAGCTCTTTCCTTAGGCTACCAAGAAAAGGAAGTAGAATACATTGAATTCTCCCAGTCTGTTGGCTGGATAGAGACAAAACACACTTGAAGATTTGAACCTGAGATGATTTGAATGCTTGGGCAAAACAAACTGACTTTACTTTGAATTAAGACATGTAATTCCGATTAACTGTACCTCTCACTTGCATTCCCAGAGAGCAGTAAATGGAGAAAGGCTGGCAAACATCAAAGTCTGGTGAATGATTTTCCTTTGACCTCTGCAACTGAGTCAGTGAGAAATGCAGGTTTGCTGCGGGGTGGTATTCCCACGTCTATACCATTTACTGCTTAATCATTAGTTTTTGATGACTGATAACCATGCCAATAATAGCTAACATTTAACAACCACTTACTCTAAATCAAGCACTATGTTCAAAATTCTACATACATGACCTCCTGACCACCCAACGAGGTGAGTTCCCAACACCACTTTATAGGGAAAGACTCTCAAGCTGACACAGCTAGAAAATGGCAGCTTTGGGTTTTGAACCCAGGTCCACTTGCCCCCACAGTTCCTGCTCAGAATCACTGTGCTCTGATTATGACTAGTATTCTGTTTCTGATATTTCCTCTCTTCCCTACTACAGATGCTTATAGTAGCAACAGTTCTTCTTGCATTGGAGAGTGATAACAACTACAAATGTTGCCAGAGTGAAAACTGCAGCAAAAAATACATGGTAAGAGCAATAGTACCTTGAGGATGGCTGAGTGGGCTCTGCTTTCTTTCTTCTCACTCAGAAACGAGAAAATATTCACACTGTTGTCCCCTCTCTGTGACCCTTTTAACTCAGAGCCCAAGAATTTACTAAAAAAAAAAAAAAAAAAAAAAAAAAAAATCCAACTTCTATTTTGTTTACTGTCTTTGTTTACTGTTGATGTTCTTCCAGAAGTTCAGGATTTAAAGATACATAGAGTTAGAAAATAATATGAGTTTACTTTTTTCCCTTTTCAACTTTATTGAGGTCTGATTTACATTCAATAAATGGCATCCATTAAAATTGTACAATTTCATGAGTTTTGACAGCCAAATACACCCAGGCAACCACCATCACGATCAAGACACAGAACATTCCTATCACCCCCAAAACATTGATCTTTGATCTGCTTTATGTCATTATAGATTAGCTTGTATTCTATGTAAATAGAATTATGCAAAATTTGTCTTTTGTATCTGGCTTCTGTCAGTCAGCATGATTAGATTTATCCATGTGTTGGATATACACAATGTATATTTTTTTTAAATGGGGCTTCAAAAATAATTTAAATAGAATCAAGAGAGAATAATACAACCAATTTTCTAAGCCTGTGCTCAGCAGGCAGGTGCTGGGCTCCTACATTTTCATCACTATCCTTCTCCTCCTCAGGGTTATCATCTTTTAATCATATTTGCATAGCACATTTTTTTCACTCTTACCCAGGGAATTAGATCATTGTTACTCATACTTATATGAATTACCTGTGGCTCAGAGAGATTGTGTGATGTATTAACTAAAAGGAATTTTCCAGAGGCCTGGTAGGCATATCTTGCAGCTGTGGCTGCTGCCGGCCGTGGCTGCCGGCCGTGGCTGCCGGCTGTGGCTGCATATTGGAATCATCTGAGAATTTGGAGCTGGAATTCCACCCCCAGACACCCTGAGCTAGTTGGTCCAAGGGGCAACCAGATTTTAATGGGCAGTTGAGATGACATGTCTAGCTTTATGACAGATGGCGTTGGAAGACTTAATTAGCTGCTAAATTTAGAATTATGCTCTTGGTGGAGAAGATTTGAAGAACGGAAAGACGCTCTGTGCACCTGCGTGTGCATGTGCATTGCGGGTGTATGTATTTTCCTCCAGTAACTGCCGGTATTATACTTATGGAAAGCTTTCAAAACTGCCTAGGTGAAACAATAGATTCAGGTAAACATTAACTTCTGATTCTCAGGGAATCTCTAGAAAACAACCGTATGTGCCACTAGGTTCATAATAAAAATAAATGTGTCCAATTTGCCTTGAATCACTATTAGCATCTCCAGCATAAACGGACGCTGCAGACGAGTGGAGTCTGGATGGCGTCTCATAATCAAATCAAAGGAGATGGCTGGCATCTCAATGGGAAAAGCAGGAGGACAGGAGAGGGGATTCTCCAGATTCCCTGGTTGGTTCTTTCAAGGTAGGGCTTTAGAATAGGGGTCCCAGTTTATATGCCCCAGGAGCCAACCTCCTGATGGAAATGAGAGATCTGAGGCTGGTAAGCATTAGATTTCAATTTCTGTTTAAGGAAGAGAGGGATCTGCTCAAGTCCAGCCAATTGTTTTTTTTTTTTTTTTTTAAAGATTTTATTTATTTATTTGACAGAGAGAGATCACAAGCAGGCAGAGAGGCAGGCAGAGAGAGGAGGAAGCAGGCTCCCTGCTGAGCAGAGAGCCCGATGCGGGGCTCGATCCCAGGACCCTGAGATCATGACCCGAGCCGAAGGCAGCGGCTTAACCCACTGAGCCACCCAGGCGCCCCAAGTCCAGCCAATTGTTATCATGACAAAAATGGGCAGTGTTTCTCAGTTTTCAGCAGAAAGTAGAAATATGGAGCATTTTACAACATGGTGGCAATTAATTCTCATTAAAATTAAATAAAGCGCATCTTAAAGGCTAAATACGAGTCTGCCCAGATTTGGAATGGCAGAGCTCTGTAATGGAATTTAAGGTCACCCAAGACTCACTTGACAGAGGAGAGAAAGTTTCCCCTGAAAGTTTCCTTTTCCCTCAACAAAAACACATCTCTGTAATTCATACTTTTTTTTAACCAAAATGCCTCCTTTTTTTTTCTTGTATGCAGAGTTGTTCCCTTTTTATTTCTACTAGTTTAACTTTTTTTTAGTAGAGTTTTTTTTTTAATATTTTATTTATTTATTTGACAGAGAGATCACAAGTTGGCACAGAGGCAGATGAGGTTGCGGGGAGCAGGATCCCTGCTGAGCAGAGAGCTGGATGTGGGGTTCCATCCCAGGACCCTGAGATCATGACCTGAGCCAAAGGCAGAGGGTTAACCCACTGAGCCAACCAGGCACCCCCCACTTTTTTAAGTAGTTTTAATTACATACATTAATTGGAATTCTTAACTCTTAGAAACTTTAATTTCTGAGGGAGCCTGGGTGGCTCAGTCATTAAGCATCTATCTTGGACTCAGGTCATGGTCCCAGGGTCCTGGGATTGAGCCCCACATCAGGCTCCCTGCTCAGTGGGGATCCTGCTTCTCCCTCTCCCACTCCCCCTGCTCGTGTTCCTTCTCTTGTTCTCTCTCTCCCTCTGAATCAAATAAATAAATAAAATCTTTAAAAAAAAAAAAAAAAAGAAACTTTAATTTCTGGTGAAAACCAGGAAGTAAGCTGTTGTGGAATGTTATAGATACCAACATCTCACTGATTGGCAAATTCTTGAGTATGCTATTTCATAATTTCTAAAGCATACATTTCTTCATTGTACAATTTTTCAGTATAGCACAAAACATATCTACTAATAGACCCAAATATCTTTACTTCCTCTTTAAAAGAGAGACAAATATAGGGTTATGTTCACTAATCAATGTTTCAGTCATTTATTTTATTTGGAAATGACTTACATATTCAATGAATTACCATTATTTAACTTCACTTAGTACAACTTGTATTACTTTAAGGTTTCAAGTTAACAAAAAGATTTTGGAAGGTATTTTAAAATGGATTTTATAAAACTTAATCATTGTTGAAAAATTCACTTATAAACTTTTACCACCCATATACTTAATGTGCTTGCTCTTAACAACTATGTGTAGATAACTCATGCAAATTTCATGACACAAGAGACAAAGTTAGCCATTATTTTAAGTTATTTTTCTTGTTGACAAATTTTGTGACATATATATTAGGCAAGCATCAAATGTCGTAGAAACAAAGCACCCAAAAAGTTAAACATACATACTTTTTCTCTCTTTCTCTCAGTTGCCGTGCTTGACATACATTCAGCAATTTATTTTTTAGTGTATGCTTCGTTTATAGGTTGAATTGATAGTTTTATACTGTTAAAGATCTAGCAGAGATACTACGTTTGTTTGACTTGTAATTCTAGGTAGAAATAAAATTGTATGACTATGATACGTTTAATGCTGACAACTCTGAAGATATGCTTGTTTTTTATTTTTCCCAACAATTTTTAAAATAGCTTTATTTAACCAAAGATTATCCCAGATTGTGTGAACTTAAAAAATTTGTTTTGGATTAGTCTTTGTGTTTAAGAAACTTAACTTATATGAGCACTCATTTACCTCTACGCCAATTAGAATAGAACTCTTTTGACAGATTTTATAAATTATTTTGGTAATACCATCTGGAGGTAGAAAAATATCACACATCTGTAACACACATATGTAGGTATAAATAAACATATAGACAGACATAGAGATCTTATGGCCTTTGTTTTTAAATTTTAGCCATGTATTAGGTACATTGATAAGAAACTTACCAGTTTATAGAAGAGTCCAAATTGTGTTTCTGGCCTATGGAGCAAGTTATGGCTACCCACTTGGATGGCTAAAGCTTTTTACTGAGTTGTGGAGAAGGCTTTTAAGATTTGTATCTGCCCTTGACAAGTAATTTTATGAAGGCTGTGGACTAGATTTTGGCGAGGGAATTTTTATAGCAGTTGGTTTTTTTTTAACCACCCCCCTACTCTCCCATCCCCCTGCTCCCTCCCACCTCCCCACCCCTCCCCCCATCTCCCTCTCCCCACCCCTCCACCTCTCCCAACCCTGCTTTTTTTGCCCTTCAGTTTCAAGCAGTTGTGTGTTGTGTTTTAATTATCTCCCAGAATGTTTACATTCCAAAGAGCGGGAGCCCCATAAGAGTTGCATCTCAGAGGGCGTAGAGAATGTAGGTTTCCTTTTAGAAGGAATTTGGTGGCATATTTATCTATTATCAAGAGGCATAGAATAATAACTATTTAATGTTTTCCTTCTTTTTCTGAAGCACAGGGTAGTTCTCTTCCCAATGTCCTGATTTTTTATAACAACTACAGATATTTTGAGATGAATAGGGGAGGCTTGGGGAGTGGTAAGAATAGGTAGATGAACTTTGAATTGCTTTAAGGGACACATTTCTAGTTCGATAAAGACTAGATTTGTAAGACAAAGGCAATTGTTTTTTAATTCCTCAAAGAGGGGGATCACAGCCCGAATGATCCTGACCTACCCATCTAATTACACTATTTTCAATCTGCTTCTTTATATTAGGGAGAAGATTTCCAACTAAGATGGAAGTCCGAATATTTCTCGGTTCTAGATTAACAGTAGTGTGTCTTTGTAATGTTCTTGTAATTATTTCACAAAACCTTCCACATTTTTTCTTTCCCTCTGAGTACAGAGCTCCATTTTACTCAGGAGAGAAGAACTTAATTTTAGAAGTTTCTATCAGGATGTGAATATCAACCTTTAATTTGGCCAACTTCAGACCATACAGCCCCCTAAAAAATTATTTCAAATATTTAAACCAAATGACTCGAAACCAAAACCAAAACTTAATCAGGGATGCAAGAGATGTCCCCAAAGCGAGTGCAAAAGATGCAGCCCTCCCAAGATCCAGGATCACTCCCCAAGGTAGCAAAAGAAACTTAGACAACTCCTCCTGAAAGCTGGTGACAATTGGTGGGATCCTAGCTGCAGTGGGGTGTAGCCCAAATTTCTGTATGGCAGATTTTGGAGGGACCACAACCTGACAGTTGGCTGCTTTCAAGAACTGGCATTTGCATGCCTGACAGGCAGAAAGTCAAATTCTCAGAACACAAATAAAAGACAAACAGGAAATTGACAGCTGTTCCTGGTAGGGAAAGGATCAATAACCAAGGGATAACTCAAAACCAAATTTTAACCAGAGTCACAATCCAAAGAACTCATCTCTACAAATGTTTTTTCCCCGCCAGTCTGAATCTGAAAAGGAAAAGACTCTTACCACCTAACCTAGACCAGTCCCCCACAAGCAGAGATCCAAGAAACTGACATGGCAAGAATTCTTCTGTGGCTTTTCTCCCAGATCCAGGATCTCTAACCGTAGCTCCTGTACCAAGGAAGGTGTCCCGAGCTATGGTGCCCCGTGTTGGGTGCCAGATATTGTAACAGGAAAAAAGTTTTACTCCACCCTCTTAGGGTCCCTGGCTCAGTCTGAAAATTAAACTGACAAAGATAGGTGAGCAAGAAAAAGGGATATACATTTTATTGAATTTTATGCATACATGGGGGCCTTAATGAGAGAATGAAGACCTGAAGAAGTGACCAGAGTAGCAAGAAACAACAACAAATTTGTAAAGAATTGGCAAGAGTGAGGTGTTTGGGCTAGGGGTAGTAAATGTTGGAGAAGTAACAAGGAAGATAAGGTTTAGTTTAACGAGGTTTGTTTTCACAGGTTTCTTGGCCCCCATCTCTTCCTTTTTCTCCTTGTACAGAGAGGGTAACTTGCACACCAGAGTTTTATGAGCTCTTTAAGAGAAAAAGGGTGAAGGGGCTGGGAGGGGTCAGAGTGACCATCCTGCTTCTGCCATTTTCTCAAGCTCCTTCAGTTTAAGATATTCAGTATGCTAAAGTGCCATGTTTTGGGGGTGACCTGAACCTCACTAACTTCTTGTTTGCTATTCATTCTTCTGTGTTGTCTCATTTTCTGCCAAAATCCTGTGGGTTGTTATCTCTGGAAAACAGCTACCAGCCAAATAGAGGCGCTTGGAATAAGAGATGATATTGTGATTATATTTATAATTTGAAATAATTTTTATATCCATTGTATCCTTTAATCTTTGAAATATCCCTGTTATGGAGGTAGTATAATCATCTACCTCTTTTACATTTAATAGAACATGGAACTGTAACTCAGAGAGATTCTTATTCCTGATTTATTTCAAGGTTCAATTGTGCAACTGTATCCACTCATTACACTGTAATTTGTATATGTATACAAATACATATTTGTTATGCTATGGTTGCCAGTTTCACCAAATCAAAAAATTCTTCATTGATCTTTCCAGTGAACTGCTTAAGAGCATATTTGGTAAACAAGGAGCTCAATCTTTTTGAAACATCCTTTTTCCTTTTTGGAAGATAGCATTGGTGGATAGGTAAATTTTCTTTGTGAAGTGTAACGAACAGTAATCTGTTAAAAATATAGCTTGTCTCATCGTATGATGGGGCAACATGCTATTAAAATCAATACGAGATATATAATTTGAAAGATGTTTTAATCATATATGAAGATGCCAATGAATTAATATCCAATAGGAAAAAAAGCAGACCTGTTCTTTTCTTCTTCAGTTTTTTTTTTTTTAAAGATTTTATTTATTTATTTGACAGAGAGAGATCACAAGTAGGCAGAAAGGCAGGCAGAGAGAGGAGGAAGCAGGCTCCCTGCTGAGCAGAGTCTGATGTGGGGCTCAATCCTAGGACCCTGGGATCATGACCTGAGCTGAAGGCAGAGGCTTTAACCCACTGAGCCACCCAGGTGCCCCCAGATTTTTAAAATATTTTTTTTCTGATTTTCCATAATGAACATGTATTAATGTTATAATCAGTAAAATAATGTTAAATTATTTGAGATATATATAATGTAAGATCACTTTTTGTCCCCAAAATCACAGGTTTGTTGTTCTCAGTTTTTCTGGTGTCAAGTTTTGAATTTATTGTCAACTAACTTGGCTGTTCTACTCTCACTTGAAAGCAACATTTCTAAAACTAAATTAAATTGTCTCCCAAAGCAAATTACCCTTCTTGGCATCCCTATTTCTGTCCTTTGTGTTCCAGTCCCAAACTCTGGAATTTTCTTTTTTCAGTCTATCTCCAGGTACTTATTTCCTACCCAATGTCTTTTCCTCCTGGACATGTTGTTGTTACCGCAAGTTGAAGTCTCCACATGGAACCCTTATTTTGGGCTCTCTTACTTCTAGCTGGCATGCCATCACTGCCAGAACCATCTTTCCAAATTATATATTGGCTCATGTCAGTTCCTTGTTCAAAAACCAAGTACATGGCTTGTTGGAAAAAGAGCTATTCTGGTTCTTTATAAATTCAAAATGGGCTTGGTACATTTTGTGCCGGGAAGCAAGGAAGTATTCAAGGAATGATAGGGGTATCTCGAAGGACACAGGAATTGACTTGGCAGGATGGTCTCACTGGCCATATTTGGACCAAATGAGCATCTAAGAGAATAATAACAGTTATGAATTATAACACATTGAATTAGAAAATCCATGAGTACACAATAAGAGAGAAAGAGAGAAACTAAATGGAAGTTCTTCTGTGCAGAAAATTAATGTTATAAATGCAGAAGAAATGATAGAATGAGATAAGCAGCACCCTGCAACCAGTCATTGTGATAATTCGTGATCAATGGATATGAGGTCCATCAGTGGATGGTAAACTCATCGGTTGAAATGTCTTTGGGGGATAGAATATCACACAGTCTCAAAGTATTACCTCACAAATTATTTACTAATTGCAAAGTGAAAAATGTATGTTTATAGACCTGAAGAATACCACCTTATTAACCAAGAGGTCAAAAGCATCACCAATAACAGTGGGAGGCCCCTAATGTTCTCATGCCCATCAGGTGTTCTTGCCAAAATGTTTAACCCAAGTCCAGTTGTGAGGAAACAATCAGAAAATCCCAGATTGTGGGGGACATTCTATAAAACCACTGGCTGGGATTGTTCAAAAACAATTTAATATTCTAAAAAACAAAGAGGCAGTAAGGCTAATGTAGATCAAAGGAAATAAAAGAGATGTAATCCTGTGCATAAACTCTCATTGGATCCTGTACAAAAAAGTAAAACATAGTTGCAGAATAATAGAATATCTTTATTTTGGGGAGATATGTGCTGATGTATTTAGGAGCGAGATATCACAGTGTCTACACCTTACTTTCAAGTGGTTTGGCAACAAAAATGTGTTAATAAATAAATACATGTGCATGGATATATATATACACAGAGAGAGAGCAAGGAAAAATTATAAAATATTCACAGGTGAGTCTAGATAAAAAGTATACAAAGATACATTGACTATAGTATACTACACCATATGTTCAACTTTTCAGTAGACTTGAAAAAGAATGTAGTAAAAGGTTATGGGGGGGAAGAGCTACTTGTCCTGAAGGATGAAGTCAGCCCTCCTTGAGCCAGCATTCAAAGCCACCTTCTACCTGCAGGTACGAGTTGCACTAACTTTGTAAGTAACTCGAGGGCTGGGTGGCGTCCAACAACTCCATTTCCCCAGCATTAGCAAACATGTCTATCTGGTCTTCATAAACTTCTCTCTAATGCTCCGTGGGAACCCTCTCTTAGATCACACTAATCTACTTACCTTATAATTCTGCTTGTACCCATCTGCCTGGGAACACTGCTTGTTCTCTCTCCTCCAAGGCAAACACCTTCCTCCCCATCAATCCCTTCCTCACATGAACATAAATATGGCCATATAGGCTAACACCTGATGCTTCCCCTCATATTCCTGTAAGTGAAGGTATCCACATATCATCTTCACATGAGAAAAGTCAAGGTCCTAGCTTCTGATTCTTAGAGAACCCACCTGACCTAGAAAATAACGTCTTTGGTAAATACAGATTGATCAGTCACACCCCTTCCCTGCATTAATGTTTGATCATTATTTTGATACTGAAATTCCGGAAGAAAGGAAGAAATGTAGTCAATTAACTAGTATTTCTGTGGAATTCCACACAAAAAGGCATTTTAAAACTTATTTTAAAGATCAGATGGGTTTGGATTAAATGTTTGTTTTTCTGTGGACATTCACACAGACTGCATGCAGTAGGTTTGGACAAGTAGGGGAAGGTACCTATCTGATCATTTATCCACAATATCCCCTTGTCTCATTCTGTGGCACCGACCTCCACCTCCTCCTCCTCCTTCTTTTTTTTTCTGACCTCCTTCTTCTATGTTTAATTTAGACACTGCTGTCGATGATCTTTTCTGCCCTTGGAATTGCTTTCTCTGGATACTGCCTGGTCATATCTGCTCTAGGCCTTGTTCAGGGTCCATACTGCCGCACTCTTGATGGCTGGGAGTACGTCTTTGAAGGCACTGCAGGACGGTAAGAAATAATTCTCCAAATCAAGGGGCTCAGAAAGCCAGAAACACCTGGCTTCATGCTTATGATAATTTTCCATGATAACTTTGGGGTTCTATGTGGGAATACTCAGACCAACTTCTGCCTACATAGATCTCTGTTCAGTGCTTTTCCTTCTCTCTTTCTTTTTTTTGGGGGGGGGGAGCAGTCTTTTTTTTTTTTTTTTTCAAGATTTTATTTATTTATTTGAGATAGAGCAAGAGAGGGAGAGGACAAGCAGGGGGAGCAGCAGGCAGAGGGAGAGACAGGCTCTCCACTGAACAGAGAGCCTAACACAGGGCTGGATCCCAGGACTCTGAGAACATGACCTGGGCAGAAGGCAGACACTCGACCAGCTGAGCCACCTAGGCACCGCTGCCAGTCTTCTAATGTCATATGCATTCACTATTTTGAGGTTGATGCGGAGATATCCAAATGAAAGTTGTGTTTCTCCTGAATTTCAGAGCGAAGCTTTGTAGTTATTGTGATCTGGCAGCTACTGGAGCCTGGGAATTGAATGGTTCTAATACCCCAGTCTTGCTGTGTGGCCAGTTTGGAAGTGTGGTCTGTCTATTATTTGACAGACAGAGATCACAAGTAGGCAGAGAGGCAGGTGAGAGAGAGGAGGAAGCAGGCTCCCTGCTGAGCAGAGAGCTCTATTCCAGGCTTGATCCCAGGACCCTGGGATCATGACCTGAGCCTAAGGCAGAGGCTTTAACCCACTGAGCCACCCAGGCGCCCCTATGCTTATTTTATTTTATTTTATTTTATTTATTTTATTTTTTGAAGATTTTATTTATTTATTTAGGGGTTAATATGAATATTCAGTGAAAGGTGTGTGAGAATGCTTTGGAACCTGTAAAGCCTGATACAGATACAATTTCCTGTTACCATTTCCCTAGACCGACTCCATACATCCTCATACTCGAACTCCGCCTAAGCCACCAGGGAAGCAATCCCTTCGAGATCCTTACTCTAGATTTCCAAGTACACGCTCTGCACGGATCAGCCAACACTTGGAAGTGAGATGACCTCCATGGTGTTGATTTTTCTCCTGGGCTGTGGCACTTATTTATTCTTCGTGTAAACCACAAAGTAGTAAATGTACTAGCAGGGTCTGGAAGGAATGGAGATGCTATTTCTGATACTCCCTTTCTCCACAACCTCTTTATGGAGCTCCATCACAGCATTTACTTCCTTATATTGTAAGGCCGTCTTACTGGTATCTGTATATATTTGCTCACTATGTTGTGTACTCTGAGAGCCCTACCGTGATTTATACAGCCCAGAATAGGTAGGCCTGACACCTAAGGCTGTGCTTGGCACATGGCAAAGACCAACAAATGCTTGTTGAATGGACCAGATTCAGGATCCCCAGCAGTAGCCATGCCTGTGACTGAGCCTATGGACTTCCCAGTTCTGTCCTATGCCACTAGGGAGTGGTCCAGACACTCCCTCCATTTATACCATTAGAATTCTGGGCATAGGACAGGACTGGGAAGGATCCGATGGACCTCTCCTACATCTCTTTCTGGGCCCTGCTGCTTCTAGAGCTGTCTCTACAGGTGCTGGCAGATACAATGCCAGTGTGAGGTGTTCTGTGATCCGGGACTGGGTTCCTCAACAGCTAACTGCATCACCAGCCCTCTAAGTTAAGGCTGCCTTCCTAGACTCTTCTTCAGTGCACACTACATCTTCTCCTGGCTCCCCACAAATGCCTGTGCCTGGTCATGCCCCCTGATCTCACCCTGTACTTGGCTGCTCATGCTGCCTGGTTCTATCTGTGTTGTCCCTGATGGTATAGCATGGGTAACACCATCCAAGGTCATTGAAATAAATAAATAAAATAAAATAAGCATAGCCCAATGCTTTGTGCATGCTATATACTCCATATATGTATCTGAATTTTTCAAAATGTTTTAATTCATATTGAATAATATTATGTATTTCAATCATATATATTAATCATATATATTAATTTCCCAAACATACAAACATCTGTAGCCCTCTTACCTGGACCAAGTATTTAGGCTTGGCCATGGGTCTTGTTGTTGACTATATCCCTTCTCTCTCTCAGTTTCCTTACAGATTCCAGCATGTGGACTGAGTGCCTGGAACCCGCACATGTAGTGGAGTGGAACATCATTTTATTTTCCATTCTCATAGCTCTCAGTGGACTTCAGGTGCTTGTTTGCCTCATCAGAGTAGTCACTCAGTTATCCAAGATACTGTGTGGAACCTATTCGGTTATCATCCAGGTAACAGACCACTGGTGGCACCTGTACCTCCTCCATTTTACCCCCACTACCCAAGATCCAATGACTCTGGTTGAAAGGTTTTGAGCCTCCCATCTTTTTCATTCCATCCCTACTGCCCTCATCTTTACTCAAGCTCTAATAGCTCAATATATATGTTTTTTATATCCCATGTGTCTGTTGGTTTGCCTAGTTAGATTGAATCAATGGAGTAATTGTAAAATCTGTACTTAGTCCTGAATGGTGAAAACAGCACAAGTGTTTTGAATGAGCCACAGTGCAGTGTTCTGTGTGGAAATAACCCAAAGCACAAAGAAGCCTTACTATTTATTGAGAATTTCACTGTTCATAAGATAATTGAAGGCTCACAAAGTTATCCCATTGAAATAATTTCTCTTCTGAATGCTGTTTCCATTAACCTAATAATCATGCTTTATATCGAATCATTGGTAGTTCGTTTTAAAGTGGAGAAATATGTTTTTAATCCCTTCAAAACTACTTCTGTTTCATCTGCTAAAATACTGATGTTAATTTAGTTATGACTGAAATTGCTAAAACTACCCAGCAAGTCCAGAGTGAAGAGAAATCACAAATGAATTAGCTTGTGTTTTATTTAACAACAAATAATGTATACCCTTCCTATAAATTTCAAGTAGATATGTTCCTAATTCATCATATTTTGAGTATGCACTATAAATTTAAGTTGATACTTGGGTCGTGGATCATTAATCAAGCCAAATTTACTACTTCATTCACTTTTTTTTCTTTTTTTATAGCCTGGAATCATTTGAATGACAACAAGAATATTTTCCATTATCAAGATATGCCATCTATCTGTCTCATATCTACTATATAGACCTTAAGGCAATATTCAAATGATGGTGATTTCTCCATTTGGATGTTTTTTGAGCCTCTTATAAAATTTATAGTCCTCACTGGAAGTGCCAGCTATGTCACCCTTCTATCTGGAATTTTTTCTAAGCAATATGTGTTAGGATCTTCAGAAATATCCATATTCTTTGGTCAAACAAATCCATTCCCAATAATCTATACTATGGAAATAAATAAGAATAAAAGATAAAACTTCATGCAAATACAAATAATACAATATTATTTGATATTCTAGAAAATTACAAATACCTGAAAGTCTAACTTTCAGGGAAAGATTAAGTCAAGGGTAATACATTAGTTGTAATATTATATAGTCACTACAAATTATGTTACACAGTCATTACAAATTATATTTTAAAGATTATAAATACTGTTAATTAAAAAAGCAGATTACAAACTTATGTTCACATTATAAACAAACCATCTAAGACAAACACCAAATAATCAAAATTTAGGAAGAAAACTCAATCTGGAAGGATTTACAGAAAAATGTCAACTGTCATTTGTCTGGATGATAGGCGACCCTTCTTACTTTTCTCTATTTCCCAAGTTTTCATTATCATTTTTATAATTAAAACATATTTTAAAACTCATCATTTTTACTATTAAAAATGCTTGCTTTTATCCAATCTTTAAATATATGCTTTTCCACCTTGAGTATCTATAAACATCATAAAATAATGCTTCAATCTGTTCAATAATGAAAGTACTGAGACAGAAAGACAAAATAAATTGTATAAATTTATATAATCTAACTGAGACTTTAGCCTTATTTTCTCACTCCTGATGATGAGTGTGGTGGGCTAAAAGAGGTAGACTTGAAATAAATGAGCAGTCGAGGGCATGCTCAATGGGTTAAAGAAAGTGATCATTGACCAGGCAATACCTATGTCATAGGGAGTTACCAATACCTACACTAATAGAAAAAAAATTTTTAGTGAAACATTTAGAAACTTTCTGTCTGTACCCTATAGTTACCATGACCTCCTTGAGAACAGCAGCAATGTTATATATTTTCCCATCCTCCTTAGGACGTAGGACGTGGTAGACACTTAACATTAGATATGCATGCCAGGCCTGTCTGCCCTTCATGGTTACTATGCTGAACACCTGTCTCCACCATAGGCCCACTGGACCATAACACTTCTGCCACTTCCCTATTGCTCTCCTCCATGAACACTGTCAACAATGCTCTGTCAATACCTGCTCTGTGCCAAAGCTGGGCAGCAGCCTGGGGGAAGAAGGAAACATGCTTCTATCCTTGGTGCCTGCTCTACCCACATCCTCCTTTAAAGGAAGCTGCCCTGACTGCAGCCTTTGCTGATATAAGTGTCTTGAAAGAAAGTCATGTTATATATCAGATGACCTCAATGCCTGGACCCAGCTAGAAGAACTGGGATGGGCACCCAAGCTGTGGGCAACCTATCATCACCTAACTAGCTCTGATTTAGCCAAGAGTGAAACACCATCCAAATGAGATTAGTGGTCCTTCTTCCTTGAGAATTTGATCTCAAGGAAGCCAGGAATGAATCAACCCAATCATTGCTGTCAGGAAAGTAATTACAGGCTGAGAAAGGATGCTAAAATACAGAGAGTATCTGATTACTCCACCAAGCGCATAAACTTGTCATATTCATCACTCACTTTTCTTAGTTCTCCCAATGACTCCTTAACCTTCTGGTAAACAGACTTCTGACAAGTCAGCCCCACCAGTTTCTCTGACACATTCAGACTGTCTCAGTCTTGTTTAGATTCGATACGGCACCATACCCTGAGTGGACCATGAGTAGATGTCAGCTGAACAACTCCACCCCAGAATTGGAAACATTGTCTAAGAACAGGTTGCAGCCAAATACAGTAGAGTATTTGTATCAGTATATTTAATATTAACAGAATCACCCCACATTTTTTATTTAAAGAACATCCGCTAATGCAGTTTTAAGGGAAAAAGGCTGTATACAAATCTATGTGTGCACTGTGAGATCAATTTTTTAATAATACGATTACATGTAGACACGAGCAAATCTTCAGATACAGACCAAAAAAGACTGGAACAATATCTAAGTGTTAGTAGTTAATAATTATCCCCTAATAGTCGGATTGTGACTTGTGTTTCTTTTCTCTACATTGTTCTATATTTTCAAATTTTCATTTGAAAATGTGTTACTTGAATAGTGAGAAAAAAATAAATACCATTTAAAAAGGAAGTAGTCTCTCATCCTTTCGTAAAATCTGCTTAAGGATCTTAATATAGAAAAACACTAAACATGAAGGAAAGTGTGTGATAGTCATTTTTCTTGTTCTTTTCATTTTCTCATTCTAAGAGAGGTTGAACATTAGAATTAGCTAATTCTAATTGAGAATGAATTCTATTTTATGCATTTATGTTTTTATATTTGTTATTTCTTTCTTATTTCCCTTCCTTCTATCTCATTGTAATTTTCTTAACTTCTTAAATTGAATGCCTGGTTTATTAATTTTCAAACTTTCTTTTTTTCTCCTTAAAATAAGCATTTAAAACTATACACCTTTTCTTTAAGTGCCACCTTGGTTGCATCTCCCTAGTGTTGAAATGTTGTATTTTCTTTATTATTTAGTTAAAATTTTTCTACTTTTCTTTATTTTTCCATCTATGTGTTTTTTTTTTGGTTTTTTTTTTGTTTTTTTTAAAGATTTTATTTATTTATTAGAGAGAGAGAGAGAGATCACAAGTAGGCAGAGAGGCAGGAAGAGAGAGAGAGGGGAAGCAGGCTCCCTGCTGAACAGAGAGCCTGATGCGGGGCTCGATCCCAGGACCCTGGAATCATGACCCGAGCCAAAGGCAGAGGCTTTAACCCACTGAGCCACCCAGGCGCCCCCATCTATGTGTGTTTAAATGTGCTTTAAAATTCCCAAATATGTGAGTTTGGGTTTGTTTTTTTTTTAATTGATTTCCAACTTAATTGTATTGTGATTATACAATGTGGTCTATATGATTCTGATACTTTCAACATTTTTTAATCATGTTTTATGGTTACTATTTGTAAATATTTTATGTTCTTTAAGAGTATATATTTTTCCAAATATTGGGTCCAAGATTCTACAGTGCCCATTAGGTGAAGTTGTTAAATTTGTTGTTCAGACCCTCAGTATCTTTCCTTTTGGTTTTTTCCTTGATCTATAGTATCCATGAAGATTAAATGGGTATATACTTGTTGGGTCCCCCCAAAACAGGGTACCCCAATAATGGGTCCATGATTAAAGGAGCGAGACTGATACAAAGCGAAGGTCAAGCAAAACTTTATTTCGTGCCAAGCATCAGGAATCAAACAGACCGGTCGGGGCCGCCCCTTATAGAGAGGACGACCCCTCCCTGCTTTCCAGACTAACTTTTATAGAGCAAAGGCCATGTGGTTGGGCCTGGCCACACAGAGGGGCCAATGAGATTGTAACACACACAGGAAACTCCACAGTGATGCTAGGCAACCAATTGAATTACAATTTACCCTAGTAGACATTTGAACCAGCCTATCACACCTTGGTTAGGATTGGTGCCAAAAGGCTCCCAAAGGGCGGGGTCCCATACTTCTTGGTAGCTAGGAGACAGTATGCACCCCCACTGATTGAATACCTCCACCTGGTCTGACCCACCCTTGTACTTGGACTTTGTTACCTGGACTGGTTTCCGGGACTTGTTTTTAAGTAAGTTCCCCGGGGGGGGGGGGGGCAAAGTCAATTTAAGTTTTACAACAAAATGGCAGTTCAACTGGGGTGGGGCCCGCTCTGGCTGAATAGGCCCTTACATACTAATTTGTATAATCTTATTTACATATCATATATACATACATATGTATATCTCAGAAAACGGTGCTTGGCACATGGATGTGATTTATAAGTCTATAACTTAGTGGTTTAAAGATGTACTCTGGTGTCAGAATGCTCAGATTTAGATCTGGACTCTGCCTTATTAGCTGTATGATCCAGGTCAAGTTACTTACAGTGTCTGACTCAGTTCCTGAATTTGTAAAAGAAGAATAATAATAGAGTTTTGGGGCACCTGGGTGTCTCTGTCGGTTACGCAGCTGACTTGATTTTGGCTCAGGTCATGATCTCAAGGTCATGAGATCAGCTACCCTCCCCACACTGCCCCAGGTCAAGCCCAACATCTGGCTCCATGGAGGGGTGATTGTGGACCCTCCTTAAGATTCCCTCTCTCCTTCTCCCTCTGTCCCCACTCCCCTTCTAAAAAAATAAATATTTAGGAGGAGTTCAAGATGGCGGAGAAGTATTGGGCTGAGATGACATCAGGTAGCAGATCAGCTAGATAGCTTATCAAACAATTCTGAACACTACAAATCCAACAGGAGAGCAAAGAGAAGAGCAGCAATTCTAGAAGCAGAAAATTGACCACTTTCTGAAAGGTAGGACTGGCAGAGAAGTGAATCCAAAGCGATGGGAAGATAGACCTTGGGGGGAGGGGCTGGCTCCTGGCAAGCGGCGGAGCAACAGAGCACAAAATCAGAAATTTTAAGAGTGCTTCACTGAGGGACATCGCTCTAGAGGCCAAGCCAGGGTGAAGCCCACACGGGGACAGCGTGGCCTCAGGTCCCGCGGGGTCACAGAAGGATGGGGGGTGTCTGAGTGTCACAGAGCTCACAAGTATTAGAGCAGGGAAGCCAGCTACAGAGATGGAAGCGAGGAGTGAGCTCTCAACTTGGGGTTACCTTATTGTGATCCGTGGCACAGGTAACTGCTCTGTGAGTGGGGTCCCCACAAGATCCGGGCAGACTCCCCTGGAAGAGCTCAGGGATCTTCGGGGTTCGGAGACTCCAGGTGGGGCTGTGTGCCAGAGACAGAGACGCTTGGTCACAGACTGGGTGAGTTCGGAGCACAGCCGGAGGCCAGGGAGACGTGAGTGATTGAGCACTTTTCTCTGAGGGCACACTGAGGAGTGGGGCCCCGAGCTCTCAGCTCCTCCAGCCAGAGATTGGAAGGCCGCCATTTTCATTCCCATTCTCCAGAACCCTATGGAAAGCGTTCAGGGAACAAAAGCTCTCGAAAGCGAACCCAAGCGATTACTTAGCCTGGCCCCTGGTAAGGGTGGTGCAATTCTGCCTTGGGCAAAGACACTTGAGAATCACTACAACAGGCCCCTCCCCCAGAAGATCAACAAGAAATCCAGCCATGACCAAGTTCACTTAACCAAGGAGAACAGCGGAATTCCAGAGGAGGAGAAAGCAAAGCATGGAATTCATGGCTTTCTCCCCATGATTCTCCCCATGCAAAATTAATTATTATTTTTTTTATTTTATTTTTTTCTTCTGCTAAAATTTTTTAAACTTTTATCCTTTCCTCTTTTAATGTTTTTTAACTAGTTTATCTTAACAATACCTTTCAAAAATAATCTTTTTGAACCTTCATTATTATAGTCACATTTTATCCTTCATTGTATCTAACTTTATTTTTTGTATACACATAGAGTTTTTTCTTCTAAAAAAATTTGGGATACAACTTCTTCTAATAGATCAAAATATACCCTAAACCTACCACGGGGCTTTGTTCTAGTCTCCAGCCTGAGCAAATTCTCTCTACTTTCTTTTTCTTTATTCTCCCAGCCAACTTATCAACTCCTTTTTTAGAAATTAAAAAAAATTTTTTTCATCTTTATACTCATATTCCATCCCTTCATCATGTTTATCCTTATATATGTTTTTCATTCTTTAAAATTTTGGGAGGTAGTTTCTTCTAAGAGACCAAAATACTCCCCAAATTAAGTGGGTAACCCTGTTCTAGTCACCAGTCTAATATATATATATTTTCTTGTTTATATTTTTCCTTTATATTTTTTTCTCTTTTTAATTTTTTTTTTCTGAACTTCTTTTTACCCCCTTTCTTCCTCCCATGATTTGGGGTCTCCTCTGATTTGGTTAAAGCACATTTTACTGGGGTCTTTGCCACCCTTTTAGTATTTTATTCACTCCTTCATATATTCTTATCTGGATAAAATGACAAGGTGGAAAAACTCACCACAAAAAAAAAGGACAAGAGGCAGTACCGAAGGCCAGGGACCTAATCAATATGGACATTGGTAATATGTTAGATCTAGAGTTCAGAATGACAATTCTCAAGGTGCTAGCAGGGCTCAAAAAAGGCATGGAAGATATTAGAGAAACACTGTCCAGAGAAATAAAAGATCTTTCTGGAGAAATAAAAGAACTAAAATCTAACCAAGTTGAAATAAAAAAAGCTATTAATGAGGTGCAATAAAAAATGGAGGCCCTTACTGCTAGGATAAATGAGGCAGGAGAGAGAATTAGTGATATAGAAGACCAAATGACAGAGAATAAAGAAGCTGAGCAAAAGAGAGACAAACAACTACTGGACCATGAGGGGAGAATTCGAGAGATAAGTGTTACTATAAGACTAAACAACATTAGAATAATTGGGATTCCAGAAGAAGAAGAAAGAGAGAGGGGAGCAGAAGGTATACTGGAGAGAATTATTGTAGAGAATTTCCCTAATATGGCAAAGGGAACAAGCATCAAAATCCAGGAGGCACAGAGAATTCCCCTCGAAATCAATAAGAATAGGTCCACACTCCATCATCTAATAGTAAAATTTACAAGTCTTAGCGACAAAGAAAAAATTCTGAGAGCAGCCCGGGACAAGAAGTCTGAAACATACAATGGTAAAAATATTAGATTGGCAACAGACTTATCCACAGAGACCTGGCAGGCCAGAAAGAACTGGCATGATATATTCAGAGTACTAAACGAGAAAAACATGCAGCCAAGAATACTATATCCAGCTAGACTATCATTGAAAATAGAAGGAGAGTTAAAAAGCTTCCAGGACAAACAAAAACTAAAAGAATTTGTAAACACCAAGCCAGCTCTACAGGAAATATTGAAAGGGGTCCTCTAAGCAAAGAGAGAGCCTAAAAGTAGTAGATCAGAAAGGCACAGAGACAATATACAATAACAGTCACCTTATAGGCAATACAATGGCACTAAATTCATATCTCTCAATAGTTACCCTGAATGTAAATGGGCTAAATGCCCCAATCAAAAGACACAGGGTATCAGAATGGATAAAAAAACAAAACACATCAATATACTGTCTACAAGAAACTCATTTTAGACCCAAAGACACCTCCAGATTTAAAGTGAGGGGGTGGAAAACCATTTACCATGCTAATGGACATCAAAAGAACACTGGGGTGGCAATCC